GACTGAAGGGTCCCAGGTTCGATTCCGGCCAAGGGCACATGCCTGGGGTGCGGGCTTGAGCCCCAGTAGCGGGTGTGCAGGAGGCAGCCAATCAGTGATTCTCTCTCATCATTGATGTTTCTATCTCTCTCTCCTTCTCCCTTCCTCTCTGAAATCAGCAAAGAAATATATTAAAAAATAAATAAGAGTAAGATTCCTCAGAGGCAAAGTTTCTTTTATAGAAGTGCTTTTATCTAAAGGACAACCAAGAAATTTGGATAAACTTGTCTCCCTTAAATATTTGAATCTTAATTTTTTTCTTTTTCCAGAACTACTCACAGAATAATTAAAGTTCCCATATGCTGTGCAAAAAAAAAAAATGTATAACTTGGCACAACTATTACAATTCAGTATTTTAAAATCTGTTCACTAGAAGTGAGAACAGCCTCATTTTACTATCAAAAGGAGAGTAAAAACTATTTTCATTAATGATCATGGGGAAACTGGTGATCCTAAGGAGAAAATGCTCCAGAATAAAAGGAAGACTCTAAGCCGCATACAGCCGGTTTACTACCATCGCAGAGTCTAGACCCGCCGTGGGCAAACTATGGCCCGTGGGCCGGCCCCGGCCCATTTGAAATGAATAAAACTAAAAAAAAAAAAAAGACCGTACCCTTTTATGTAATGATGTTTACTTTGAATTTATATTAGTTCACACAAACACTCCATCTATGCTTTTGTTCCGGCCCTCCGGTCCAGTTTAAGAACCCATTGTGGCCCTCGAGTCAAAAAGTTTGCCCACCCCTGGTCTAGACGGTGCCTAGCTCAGAGTGGACAGTTAGTAAAAAGACACTGGCCCAGCCAGCATAGTTCAGTGGTTGAGTATCGACCTATGAACCAGGAGTTCACGGTTTGATTCCCAGTCAGGGCACATGCCCGGGTGTGGGATCAATACCCAGTGCAGGGCCTGTAGGAGGCAGCCAATCAATGATTCTCATCATTGATGTTTCTATCTCTCTCTCCCTCTCTCTTCTTCTGAAATCAATAAAAATATATTTAAAAAATACACTGGGTGACTCTCATAGTCTCCTTATTTTTCTCATTCAAGCATCAGATATCCTGCATTGTACGAGATGAGTCTGGAGTTTGCAAAGTGACGTAGGCTTTTCACAAACGATATCATGGGCTTGAAGGATAGGAACCTGTCCTATGCTGTCTGCACCTGTGATCTGAGATGATATAAAAGGCAAGCCCTGCCCTGGTTGGTTTGGCTCAGTGGATAGAGCGTCGGCCTGCAGACTCAAGGGTCCCAGGTTCGATTCTGGTCAAGGGCATGTACCTTGGTTGCAGGCACATCCCTAATGGGGGGTGTGCAGGAGGCAGCTGATCGATGTTTCTAACTATCCCTCTCCCTTCCTCTCTGTAAAAAATCAATAAAATATTTAAAAACACACACACAAAAAAAACAACAACAACAAAAGGCAAGCCCTGGCCTGGTCAGCAGTTCGAAACATATTTCTCCTTCTAGAGTAGCATATCCTCCACAAATGACTCTAAAATTATTTTAATGTTTAAAGTAAGTCTTTTAATGAATTAATTACATTAGGACTTAACAATTCCTGGACCTTGCAAAGCTATGCCATACGGAAAAAGTTTCAGGGAGCCAATTTTTATATAGGAGTTTCTGGGGGCAGCAACCAAGCCATAGTCTGAGAGTAGAAGCAAAAAACAGAGGAAACATCCCTGAAGCAGCTTTGAACTGAGGATGGACATTCTCTTTGACATTTTTCAGAATCGGTTGCCTTAATTGGAGTCACAGTCACCGTGGTCACCTGGTCTTGACGACCGGGCGATCAGTGCCGGGAGACACTGGTGTATGTTTTGTTTTCCTCTCGGGCACTCAGTGTACCCTGCTATGGTTTCTGTTGTGTTTGAGAAGTATTTGGGCTGTGGACAGAGCAGGCAAATTCCATTCTTTGAGGACATATCAAGCCTTCCGTTGTCTCATGAGAAATAAGCTTGGGAGAGGTATGTTTCCTGCTCTCTAAGATTCTTCATCACAGGTTGCAAAACTGTCTGGAACCAAAATGTCTTAACAGTATATTTGCATTTCTAGAAAATATGACTCCACTAAAGCATATGAGATTACAAAACAATGATATTATCAGAAGAAATAAGGTTGGAAGTCACTCTATCCAAACTTGGTTTCCCTTCCTTAATTTTTCTGCCCTGAGCCATGCTCACTTGTGCCAAATATTAGAGTGGAGGAGTATGGTGCCAAAACATTTTCATATAGAAAAGAATTGGCCAGATTCATCATCTAGTGGAGTTGTGTTTGGTGATAACACCATATTTGGCTTGACAATGAATTGAGTTACCAATTGTCTCCTCCTATTTCCAAAAGAGGGTATAGAAAATGCTTCAGACAGAACATTTAAAGCAAATGTCAAAAGGAAAAGCAAGAATAATTAAGAGGGAAAATGTGGAACTAGTGACTGTATTGATAGCTGATAATAATAGTATATACTTAATATACTCTATGTAACATATTTTTAAGAGTTTTACATGTGTTCACTTATAGAATTCTCACCACAGCACTATTAAGGGGATACTTTTGTTGTCCCTAGTTTATTGCAGCATAGAGATTAATAATTTGCCTGGGGTCACACAGCTAATAAGTGATAGACTGGGATTTGATTTCGGGCAGTCTCCCTTAGAACCTGTGTCCTAACCTAGGATGTTATCTAAACAGGTGACACCACTTTTCTGAGCTTCAAGGCAGGCCAGGCAAGATGAGTCTGTATTTTTCCAAAGTGCTCAGTTCTTGAGAAAATGGTTGGATAGCTTGTGATATGAATAACGTTATATAATATGACAAAAATATCATTAATTGATGTTTTGCACAAGGTCCAAATGTGTTTCTCAAAATAATATTTCTCACATCAACCCTCAATAAAATGGGTTTAAATAGCAGTTCAGTCGGTCTAACAAATGTTAGATCTGAAACCCAGATTTCCTAAAGTGAAGAGTATTGATGATGGGGTGTGATTTCTGTCATCCATCCCAGTTTTATCTACATTTGTAACAGTCTTGTTTATGTATGTGCTTATCTCTGTATCCCGGGCCTCCTCTGCTGGAGTGACAACATGGCAGGTACCCAAAACCATTTGTTGCATAATTTCATGAATGAATGAATCTTCTAAAGGCAAAGAGTTCTGCTTAAGAGAATAGCCACAAGATCCTCAAAGTATAAATCATGACTATAAATTATAACGTGTACATTGTAACTATGAAAGGTCATTCATTGTTCCTGAGGAGTTACTGGCAGAGTGACCTTGACTGAAGCTGAAGAGGCTGGGTGTGGACTCTTGGACTTGTTGCATATTCTTCTTTATAACCCCGATGCCAAGGCCAGTCCCTGGAGCTGTGTTATGCAAGATCCACACCAACCCCGTCCAAGCAGACAGCCGAGGATTTGCTGTAGCCGGAAAAGCCAATGGACGGAAAGGAAGTCTGCTCCCCTAGAGCCAGCACTGCCTTCACTCAAAACTCAGATGCTGCTTCCAGTCAACAGTCTTTTAGCTGGGGCTTATAGACAAGCACTTCATGCTGCATTCCTACTGCATGGGGACTGTCGGTCAGGAGTCCCAGCATCCAAGTGCTGCAGCTGGCTCCCGCCACCCTCTCCCCAGGCTGTGAAAACAGGGCCTTCAGTGGATTTATCTAGTGCTGGGCTGCACCGGTGCTATTTCAGGGCTTAACCAGCCTCTGGTCTGTGGCCTCCCTGTGCAACCTTCTCTGCCCTTTCTCGTTTGCAATGTTTCAATATGAAGCAGCATATGAAGGAAAAGATGACACTAGACCAGCCGTGGGCAAACTACGGCCCGTTTGAAATGAATAAAACTAAAAAAAAAAAAAGACCGTACCCTTTTATGTAATGATGTTTACTTTGAATTTATATTAGTTCACACAAACACTCCATCCATGCTTTTGTTCCGGCCCTCTGGTCCAGTTTAAGAACCCATTGTGGCCCTCGAGTCAAAAAGTTTGCCCACCCCTGCACTAGACCCATTTTCAGCTCAAGGAAGAGAACATAACAATTCAGAAATGACTGGGTAGGACAGAGCCAGTTAGCTCAAGTGAAACCAAAAGTTATTTGTTCCAATAATGTCTCTAAATAAACTGCAATGGGCTCTGGCTGGTGTTTCTAAGTGGTTAGAGCATCACCCCATGCACCAAAGGGTTGAAAGTTCGATTTCTGGTCAGGATACATACCCAGGCTTCAGGTTCGATTCCTAGTTGGGCATGTCCAAGAGGCAGCCGACCAATGTTTCTCTCTCACAGCAATGTTTCTCTCTCCTTCTAGAATCAATGAAAAACATATCCTTGGGTGAGGATTTTAAAAAAAACTGCAATGAAATAATTATTACATCATAATTTTAAAAGTTTTATAGCTATTCTAAGTTTTGGGTTAACAGGTTATAGAGCCACTCCTCGCCTTATTATTTACATTTTGCAATCCTGAACTCCTTTTATTTCCCCCGGACAGCATGCTACACCACACCTTGGACCTTTGTTCTTTCTCTTTCTGTATTTGGCTTGGAACACACTTGCCACAGCCCTCCTCTGTCTTCAAGTTTCACCTCAGGTGTCGCCTTCCTGAAATTTCCAGGTCCTGCTATGCACCCCTCCACTGTGTCTCCTTGTTTCAGCACTTACCATGCTGTATACTGCATAACAATCTCTATGTGTCTGTCCCCTGCATTCATCTGTGAGCAATTCCTTGAGAGCAGGAACCATGTTTTACTCATTTCTTGCCCACAGTTCCCAGCATAAAGTCTGGCATGTACAGTGAGCTGAAAAAATATTGATTGCCATGAATCATGTTGTCAATAAGCCATGATGCTATCACTCTAACCTTTCTCCGCATTCAAAATTCTGAGAGCCCCAAAAACAGTTTAAACGACCGCAATTTAGAATTTTCAGGAATGTAATCTTCTGTTATTTCTCTTCCTTTTCAGGAACCTCTTTCTGGAGCCGTGAGAGACAAAGGGAAGAATCATGTCCTCGATTGCAGCTTTCTATGGTGGCAAGTCCATTCTCATCACCGGGGCCACAGGCTTCCTGGGGAAAGTCTTGATGGAAAAGCTATTTCGCACCAGCCCGGACCTGAAAGTCATTTATATCCTTGTGAGGCCCAAGGCCGGCCAGACACTGCAGCAGAGGGTCATCCAGATCTTAAATAGTAAGGTATGTCTCCTGGGAAGACACTTGGGGCAAGGCGACTCTCTACAAGGCGACTCCCTACAGTGTCTTATGTGGCCTCAAATGGCAGGTGAAGGCCAGGATATGGGGGCAGAGGGAGGAGAGGATACCAACAAGATACCAACCAACTGCTCCTGGGAATGTGTCGTGCTTTCCCATAAGAGAAAAGAGAGTGCTTAGGCTCTGTCCTGGGCAAGTGAGCAGGGAACCTCCATGTGGGAAAGGAATGTTTGGGGAGCAAAGGGACCAGGTGCTGCGAGGCTCCGGATCCAGGGCCTGTTAAGAAAGACATGGATAACATTGAGGGCAGCTTGCCTTGGAGGCAGAACTAATGGGAATTGGTAATTAGCCCAGAGCTCTCTTGTACATTCCACAAGCCAGGGGGAGTCAAGACTCAGGGTTCATTCGGGAGTCAAGATGTTATATCAGCTTCAAGGAGTCACCTTTGTGACAAACACTAAGGGAAGAATTAATGAAAAAGAAATATAGGTTAATGTAAAAGGAGAACTAGCTCTTCTGACCCCAGCAGAAAGGATTAATATGAACCAGGAGAGAACGGCATGGATTGCCGAGGGAGCTTTCCTCCAGCCTGTAAAAAATTTGTCATGTGCAGGTACTTTGGGGTTTTATTTCTAGTAATTAGAAGACTTCTTCAAAGTAGGTGTTATCTATTTATTATGAGACTAGAGGCCCAGTGCACAAAATTCGTGCAAGGGGGGCGGGGTCCCCTCATCCCAGCCTGCACCCTCTCCAATCTGGACCTCTCAGGGGATGTCCTACTGCCGGTTAGGGCCAATCCCAGGGATTGGGCCTAAACCAGCAGTTTTACATCCATCTCAAAATTCGGGACTGCTGGCTCCTAACTGCTCACCTGCCTGCCTTCCTGATTGCCCCTAACTGCCCCCCCTGCCAGTCTGATAACCCCTAACCATTTCTGCCTGCCTCCCTGATTGCCCCTAACTGCTCCCCCCACTGGCCTGCTTGCCCCTTACTTCCCACCCTGCTAGCCTGGTCGCCTTCAACTGCCCCCCCCCTGCGGGCCTGGTCACCCCCAACTGTCCCTCTCTGCCATCCTGGTCGCCCCTAACTGCCCCCCCCGCCAGTATGGTCACCCCACACAGCCTGCTGTTCAGTCATTTGGTCATCCCTCACTAACCCCCCTGTCGGCCTAGTCACCCCATGCAACCTGCTGTTTGGTCATTACTGTTACTGTGATGGTGTCCCGGACAATTTGTATATGCCTCTATTATCAGTATAGATCAGCGGTTGGCAAACTGTGGCTCGGCAAACCATGGCTCACGAACCACATGTGGCTCTTTGGTCCCTTGAGTATGACTCTTCCACAAAATACTGGCTCTTCCACAAAATACAGACTTCTGCACATGGGCCACAAAGTTTCAATCACACTGTATGTGCACGCCCTCACGTGGTATCTTGTGGAAGAGCCACACTCAAGGGGCCAAAGAGCCGCATGTGGCTCATGAGCCGCAGTTTGCCGACCTCGGGTGTAGGGTGTAGATCGTTGCAGCGCAGGCAGGCAATTTTGCAAAGGATTCACAACAAGGGGGCTAGTTGTGATTGTGGGCTTCAGATTGTCTATAATTCAGAAGTTCATAGTCTTTCCTTAGTGGAAAAGGGATTCGGCTGGGTAGTGCTTATATTTTTGGTTTGGGCTTGATATTTTGATTTTATCACTTATGAGATATTTTCTAAAATAGTTGTTTGAAAAGAAGCTGGGCATCTTGCATACCTTCTTTGATGAGTTCTTGAACTGTAAGACCTCAAGAAGTTGTACTTTGGAACACTGATTATGTTAAAAACTATAAACAAAACTGAAAGCAGTCTTCAGTCTGGAGAAAGCACCAGGGTTTGTTAATTTGTGAAAACCAAGTTTAGTAAGGACAAAGATTATTAACATAATTGTCTCCAGTTTATTTTTATTCTTCCTTTTGACATTTCACTGATCCCTCAGAAATCCAGAAAGCTTGGAGCGATAGAAAGGAAAATAAGGCCGGGGTGAAAGCTTATAATGACTTAATGCAGAGGGGTTTTGTTTAAGGAAGGACCCAGGTAAGTTCTAAAAAATTGGATCACTTGTGGTTCAGTTTGAGGTGGGCATGTTAGGGACTTAGGGGCTGGTGAGAGGAAAGGAAATCTGACATGGGAGGGTCAGGTGCTGAGGAATAACCTGCAGCTCTCTGGCAGTTCCAGAATTGTAATAAGCATGGAATCCTCCAGTTTTCAAAGAAGTACACAAAAGTCAAGTCCTGCAAAACTAGCATCAATGATATTATAATAATCATAACAACTACTTACTTAATGAGTGTCAGCTAAAGGACAGATGCTTTTATCGTCCTCACAACAACAATCCAAGGAAGGGTTCTTTGTTTGTTTTTCTCCATTCAAGACCATATTGTATTTTTTCCCTTATTATTATTTCACTAGAGACCCAGTGCACAAAACTCGGGGGGGTCCCTCAACCCGGCCTGTGCCCTCTCACAGTCTGGGACCCCTCGGGGGATGACCACCTGCTGGCTTAGGCACGCTCCGTGGGGGATCGGGCCTAAGCTGGCAGCCAGACATCCCTCTGGCAGCCTGGGAGCCCTCAGGGGATGTCCACTTGCCAGCGGGGAGCAGGACTAAGCTGCAGTCGGACATCCTTAGCGCTGCTGAGGAGGCGGGAGTGCCTGGCCAGCCTGGGTGAGGGGCTGATGGCTGTTTGCAGGCTGGCCACAGCCCCTTCAGGTTGGGGGTTCCCCCTGGGGTGCCTTGCCAGCCTGGGTGAGGGGCTGAGGGCCGTTTGCAAGCTGACCACAGCCCCTTCAGGGTAGGGCATCCTGCTGGGGTGACTGGCCAGTCTGGGTGAGGGGCCGAGGGCTGTTTTCAGGCTGGCTAAGCCCCCCCAGCGGGGACCCTCAACCCATGAAGGTGTGGCCATCCTGGGTTAGGGGCTGATGGCTGTTTGCAAGCTGGCCACAACCCCCAGCCACCCAAGCTCCCAGTGGAGGCTGGCTGGAAGCAGGTATCTGGGATTTGTTTATCATCTATAATTGAAACTTTGTTGCCTTTAGCGGAGGCCACAGCCGGCTCAGGGCTGGCAGGAAGCTTGGCTTCCTCCATCGCCCAGGCAACCAAGCCTCCTGCTTGCTCCAGCTCTGTGGCTGCCGGCCACCATCTTGGTTGGGTTAATTTGCATATAGTCGCTCTGATTGGCTGGTGGACATGGCTTAGGTCATAGCAAAGGTACAGTCAATTAGCTTCTTTGTTTTTTATTAGTGTAGATATCACAGAAATGGCCATGTAGATGCCTGTTGCAACATAGTCTCGTCCCTGTAGCTGCCTCTCCTGATAGTTCTTGGCCAGGTTGTTGCCTCTGGTGATAGTACCTGCTTCTTGCTATAGTGCCCAATGCTGGATAGTGCCCTGCCCTGTGGTAGCTGCCTGTTGCCATAGTGACAGCCTCTCCCTCTCAGGATAACAAAGCCCCCCCCCCCCCCCCCCCCCCCCCCGTCCTGGTCAACCCCAAGAGGAAATAGTGACTTCCTCTCATGAGTGACTTCCTCACTGATAGTAACTGCTTCTTGAGATAGTGCTCAGCTGGGAAGCTGCCTCTGGCAATAGGAGCTGCCTGTTGCGATAGTGCCCAGCTGGATAGCTGCCTGCTGCAATATAACCCAGCCAGGTAGCCGCCTACTGCGATATTGTCCAGCACAGTGGTTGCCCGTCAGGAGATTGAGGGGATTCCAAGGGAATATGTATTTTTTAAATTTAAATTTAATTTTATTGAATTTATTGGGATGGCGTTGGTTAATAAAATTAAATGTCTCAGGTGTACAATTCTATAGCATATAATCTGTATATTGTATTATGTGTTCACCACACCAAGTCAAGTCTCCTTCCATCACCATTTATATCCCCTTTACTCCTCTCTCCCTCCCCCATCCCCCTCGAACTCCAAGTGTTCAACATTGTCTTTTAAAAAAAATATTTTTGTTTCTTTCACAGCTGGGAAGCTTCTAAGGAAAATAAGCCATGTTTCATGTGTTGCAATATGAACATGCTCACCACACCCCATGCTTTTCAACTTGTGGGTGCTGAGGTTTCCTAAGCCAGCTGCTTAGTCTCTTACTTATGAAAAATGTGCTCTTTTAATTATGAACTAATCAGCTTTCCATCTTAACCAAACCAATTTCAGATACAGAAATTGATATTTTCTCTGTTTTGCTATCTATAACAAAATATGATGTCCCCTGCTATAACAGATAAGTAGTTGGAAATAAATCTTACAGTTGTGAAATTCCAAGAAATATTGAGAGTATTTTGAGGTTTATTAGTGCCATAAAGATGTGGGTTGTTTGGTGTGTTTTGTTTTGTTTTCCACAACAACCACATTCCATGTATGTCTACTTAGGATCTTAAACTGGCTATAATCTACTCTGAATAACTTGCTAAGAAAACATCAAGACAAAATCCATACCTGAAAAATAAACCCCAAATAGTTGAAATTACATTAAGACCGAGGTAGTTAATTAAGAGTGATCACAAGGCCAGCATCTAAGCAAAGTTTCATTGAGAAGATACCATATTTTTCTGTGTATAAGACACTATTTTTTTCTAAAATCGTTAGACTAAAAATTGAGGGGTGTCTTATACATGGAAGTCAGCCAAGGAGGAAACGGCACCGTGTGTAGCTGCCCATACCTTGTCAAACAGACTTCCTCCAATCATGAGCCTTATTATTACTGATGTCAGCTGATGCCGTAATTGGAGGTGGAGGTGAAGGTGGAGAGTGCAGAGATGCAACAGGGACTGGAGCATTCTGAGCCCATACAATTTTTAAAAAATAAAAAGATAAATACCGATAAGTGATTATCTTACTCTGCAAAATTCAAACTGAATGTAATCAGCTATGCAAAAGAGCATGGAAATAGAGCTGCAGAGAGACAATTTGGACCTCCTCCCACTGAATGTATGATCAGACAGAG